TGGGGAGTTCAAATATCTCCTTTTTTTAAAAAAAAAAAAATTACAAACCATACAGGTAAAAAAAAAAAAAAGGATGCACAGTAATGCATTTTTAGGTGAGAGGTTCAATTAAGAAGGAATCAGAATAAAAAAACACGTCATATCACTGGTAGTATTTGTCAGTGCCTCGTATTGAATGCGACAATTGCGGCCATGTTTCTTTAAAGGTGACAAAAGTCGTTTTGGGAACTGTAGGAGAAGAAGAAAGAAATAGATCAGGCAGGCAGAAGAGACATGGGCAAATCAAAAAACTACAAAAATATTTATTTCAAAATATCTTCTAGGATGCAATGAATTGAGTGTCCCAGATCAATGATATCTGCAGGGTGGACAACAGAAACACCTTAAAATACAGCAGCCTTGCAGTAAATACCAGTTTAATAAAGCACATATTTTTGAGTTTTTAACTGTGGTAATTTTTCAGGCCATAATTTAATACTTTAGGGGATTTTAGTCTGAGTTTGTGACTGGCTGCTGCACAAGTGTCCACTGTTCTTCATCGACAAAGCACCAGCGGTTTAGGCAGCAGCTTTCTGACCATTTTGTACCTTTAAAAGTTCCCTTAGTTCTAAACTGGTGATTGTCAAACCTCTATTAAAGCTGACACATACAGCTAATTAGTATTCAACCTAATATGACTCACCTATATAGCTGCCCAAGCTTTTGTAACTGTGATTTACTGCAGTTGCTGCCTGAACTGCTGGTGCAACCATTCAAAACACTGCAAATGTATGTATGTTTGAAGCTAAGTCTTAAAAACAACAATGGAAATGAATGCAACACATCAGCTCATTCCACATTCAGTCCTCTATGTCTTTGCATCTGTCAGGTGAATGGCCAGAATGTAGTGAAGGTTGGTCACCGGCAGGTGGTTAATATGATCCGACAGGGCGGCAACAGTCTCATGGTGAAAGTTGTGATGGTTGCTCGAAACCCTGAACTGGAGGACACTGCTCGGAAGAGAGGTAAGAGTCCAAATTTCCTCCTATGTCATGTCTATACTATACTTATGATGTAATGGTAGAGCTGGTTCCATGTTTACTTCAACCTAAAGACCTGTTGCTGTATGGTTGTCATTGGCGACTGCGTGTTTGTACTAAACATTAAGTCTGCATTTGGCTGGATTCCCTTGGCAGCCCCGCAGCAGAGTAAAAGACTGACTCCTCCTGCCATTGCCCTGCGCTCCAAGTCAATGACATCAGAGCTGGAAGACATGGGTAAGATTACAGAGAGGACAAAAGGCAGTATGCAAAGAATGAAGAGGAGAGCTGGAAAGAATGTATACATAAAAATTAGGCCCCTACACTTAGGGTTAGGCTCTTTTTTTCTGGAGGGGTCACACTGTAAAAGCTTCCCTGCAGGATGATGGTATAGCACAGTGGCTCTGTTAGGGAATTAGCATGAAATATTAACTGAGCTGATGTAGAAGTCAAGAAACTTAACCACTATTGGAATTTTTTCCAGTAGTAAAAGTTTGATGAGTCTTTTGATTTATTTGCACTTGTACCTGTGACAAAGAAACAGTAAAGATGTGTTAAAGCCATTGCATGTTGTAAAATGATCAGTCACAAGCTGCTCTTGTTTGTTTTTTTTCTGACCCAAATGTGCTGCTCACAGTGGACAAAGGTGGGAGTATCATGGATTTGTATGCTGTCATTATCATTTCTGTCCCCATCACCATCCCTGTCATCACATCAGCCCTCACACCATCCCATGTGTCCGAGTATGTATTCCATACTTGCTTTATACACCTGACTACACAGCAGTTCTAGTCACACTTAATTTGTGTTTTCCAAATTATGTATGCCACAGCTGCCTCTCCATGGAAAAAGAAAGCAGGTGAATATCAGCCTTTATCATTACCCCTATCAGCCTCTGAGCTTTAATTAAAAGTCAGTCTGTTTGATGCTGTTTTCCCCCTGCTTTTTCAGAGTACGAGTCCTCTCAGGGTCCTGATAAGAAGAGGACAGTCTATCAGATGGCGCTAAGTAAGAAATGATCGTCTTGTCATACTGTAAGAGGGTGTTGGGTGTTTTTAAATGAATTGCCAGGGGGTGCTTTGAGAAATTCTCCTTTTTGTGTTTCTTCCTTTATTTTGTGCTCCCTCTCAGTACCTCTCTACCCTTCTTTTCTGGCCCTGCTTTAGATAAACTGGATGAAATCTTGGCAGCTGCCCAACACACTATTTCATCAGACAACCAGGGCCAGAGAGGTCATGGAGGCAAAAGGGATCGGAGCAAGAGCATTGTCTCCAGTGAGGTACTGTTGGGACTACGTTATGGTTGTTACCATAACATGGGGTCCTGTTATCTTTTTAGAATCAATGTCTTTATAATCTGTAAAAGATTAACAAACACTGATCATCTCTTGAGCCTCTCTCTCAGTCCTGCAATACCAGATTCACATACAGTTTACAGAGTTTCTCCACTGCTTCAGGATGAAGCACATATATAGTCAAGGAAGTGACTAATGCCAGCAAAGGAAATTATTCCTGTCTGTAAAGCAGTTTGGTCTTCAGCTTTTTTAGCTGTGTGCTCTCTTGCCCTCACTTCACTTTAGATAAAAAGATTGAGAATGGACCACCCACAACAAAACATTTGTTTAACCATGAGTCAGCTGGTGTCCATTCATCTGTGCTCTGTTGCCTCATATAGTAATGGTTCCTCAGTATTGTGTCGTAATGATAGTGTAATCAGTATCAGCTTAACATTAGTTTTATTTCATTTATATGAGTAAATGTTTCCTCTCCTCTCTTTACCCCTTCCTTCCTTTTCATAATTTCTTTTGCTCACTTCTTTTCTTTCTAAAATGTTTTGACACCTGAAGCAACCCTATGAGCAGCAGTCATCTGTGAGTGTGGTGCAGCCCGGACCAGGCTTTGGCTACAACCAAGCTCATTTTCAACCAGGCCATGGTCCTCAGCATGCAGTCATGATGCGGCAAAAATCTATTGGTAATGCCAATTGTCATGGACAAATTTCTCCCGGTTCAATATACGGGTGTCTGTTTATAACTGTGTATCATTGTGCTCAGGTATAACAGAGGAGGAAAGGCAGTACCTACACCCTCCCGCTATGAAGCTGGCTCGCAGCCTGTCAGTACCAGGACCAGAAGAAATCCCCCCGCCCCCTAACACATCCGCCCCAGATCCACCTTTATCTGCAGGCCCTCATCCTGGTAGAGGGCCTGCTATGCCCATACCCCCTGTATCTCAAGGCCACTTCCAGCCTCACTCTCAGCCAGGGCATCCCACTCAAGCAGGGTGGGACAGGGGAGGCCCTGGTGGGATGAACCAGCAGGTCATGGTCCCCACTCTCCGGAGACAATCAGAAGGACTGTGTGTCAGAGAGCCAGATGTGCCCAGGAGAGGTGGTGGTAAGATGGGAGGGTTAAGGAGAGGATACAGCAGCGCTACACCACCAACAAGTGCTAAGCCTAAGGCCCAACAAGCACCACAACATCACCCCCAAATGGCCAACCAGCCAGGTGGTGGGGTTGGCAGGGGGACGGCCAGGAGAGGTGGTCGAGGAGCTCTGATGAAGCAGTCAAAAGTGGAAGATGGACTGCGACAGCACAGAGGAAAAGGAGGCGCAGCTAAAGACAAGAGCTCCATCCCCATCCCCACCATCATTGTCAAAGCACCCTCCACCAGCAGTAGCGGTCGAAGCAGCCAGGGCAGCAGCATGGAAGCCGAGCTTTCTCAAGATGTAGAAGACCTTCCCTCAGCAGATGCTACCCCAGACAGCCCCAACACCAGTCTGCCCTCACCACTCACCCCCTCTCCACCTCAGCCTCCCACATCCACCTCCTTGCCTTCAACAACTGTTGCTCATTCTGTTTCCTCACAGCAAAACTTGGAAAATTTAGATTACACTTCAACATTTGGTACGACTTTTGGGGGCGGAGGGGCGCGTAG